TTTTAAAATTAAGTTATGATTTGTAAGTTATTTAATATAATGATATTTAATTTTGATTTATCTTATACCTGTACTTTTGGCATTAAATGGCAATTATATGTTGGATTTAACAAATTAAACCATTTAATCAATTTTTTTATTTTATTACAAATTAAAAATAAATATTTTTTACAAATATATTAAGCCATATCCGTACTTTTTGTTTTTTTTTTTGAGATTTTACTGTGTCGCCATATCCATATCATACCAATACCAGTACTCATATCCGTACATGTGCTTCATAAGTCTCAAATTATTTCGAGTCGATCCAAACTTATTGATCTAAAAATTTCTTGATTATTCTCTGTGTGCACGTAGTTGTAACTAATTTATTACCCAAATTAATTTCAATAGAATTGATCGACTAATAGTAATTTCAAAATTGAGTGAAATTTTTTTTTCAAAATTCGATAAGTACCCAGTATGGGTCGGCATGTTTTTCAACGTACTCATACTTCATAGTCTCAAGACAATTCTAAATGAGAATTTTTATATTTTTTATTAATTTTTTGCAAAGTATATATTATTTAAAATTAAATTTTTTCATTATTGAGGAAAAAAATTGGTGAAGCACCAATAAATCTCAAAATGTGATCTTGTGAACTGTTTAGTACTCTCTTTTTCTTATGAACCCAAAAGTCCCATTAAAGTGAAAATTACAAAAAAAAGGGTAGTCACTTACATGTTTGGATTTAATTTTTTAAGGATAAAAGAGAGTTTCTCTAAATGTAAAATTACACATTTAGGCAATTCGCATTAATTTGGGCAATCCACACTATAGAGGTTTTAGATTTTCTCTCATTCTTAAACAAATCCCACATTACGTATAAGAATGTAACACTCCAATAACGTAACACTCTAATGTAACACTAACATAACATCCAATGTAAAACACTAAAAAACTCATTGGTGCACTTTTCTCAAATGTAACAACGTAACACTCCAAAAAAAAACTTGTTATTGTACTTTTTCCAAACGTAATACTCTAATTGTTAGTGTATTTTTCCAAACGTACACTAACACACACAAAAAACTTCTTAATGTACTTTTCCAAACATAACACTCCAATCAATGTAATCCCAAACATAGCACTCTAATGTAACACACACAAAAATACTGAAAAATTTCTTAATGTAATTTTTCTAAACGTAACACTCACAATTTGAAATTATACATTTGTTCAAAACTTACTAAGGAATTTTTGTTTTCCTTTTGGAATAGTTTGAAAAATCCCACATCCTTTTGGAATTGTTTGAAGAATCCCATATCTTTTTTTTGGAGTGTTACATTGGATTGTTACGTTTGAAAAAAGTACACCAAAGAGTTTTTGTGTGTTACACCGGAATGTTACACTAAGAAATTTTTTTGGAGGGTTATATTGAAGTGTTACGTTTAGAAAAAGTATATTAAGAATTTTTTTTTTTTAACGTTACATTGGAGTGTTACGTTTAAGTGTTATATTGGAGTGTTACAGTTTGAAATTATACATTTGCCCAAGGTTTACTAAGGGATTTTTGTACTCATTTTGAAATGTTTGAAAAATCCCACATCTTTTTGAAATGTTTGAAGGATCTCATATTTCAAGTCATTTTTGTACTCCTTTTGAAATGTTTTCCAAATAAAAAAGATTCTCATATAAAAATTTGTTCCAAATTTAATTATCATAAATTGTGTATATTAACTTTCTAGCACAAAAGAAAAAAAAAAGAAATATAATAGAAATAAGGGTATAACCGTAAATTTAATTTCTAAATAATATATTAAATCTACATTTCCAAAATTAACGGGACTAATTGGTTTATAAGAAAATTCTTGGGACTAAACGGATCATCATTTTTCAAAATGAGATTTATAGGTAAAATTTTCAAAAAAAAAAAATTATTTATTAAATATTTAAAAAAAAAAAATTTTATATTTGGGGGGCAAATTGATTTTTAAGATATAGTTTGGGAGGTAAAATGAAATTTCAAACGAACTTTGGTGCCGCGTCAGCACATTCCGTCCAATTGTAGACGGAATGTGATGGCCAAGGTCAAATTGATCAAAATTTTAAAAATTTAGGTGTAAAATTAATATAAATCGAAATTTGAGAATCAAATTAAAAAATGCGTGAAATTTTGAAAGGCAAAATGATATTTCCTCTCATAATAATAGTGAAGGATGATCAACTTACTTTACGGTTTGCCACATGCCATATTTCCTTTCATAATAATAGTGAAGGATGATCAACTTACTTCATGGTTTGCCGCATGCCATTTTACCATCAGTCATAGACGTAGTCAAATGTTGGAGAAATGTTTGTTTGCCCTTCCCAGCTTCTTTATCATTATCATTTTCATTCATAATTGCGAAATTCCTAATTAAAATGAAAGCCACGTACAAGAAAACAAGAATATATAGGAACTTAGTTTCATAATATTCCAAATTTAAAAATTAAAAAAAATGTCACATAAAATAAAGTAATTCACCATAAATCTGGTTGCGGAAGAAATTATACAAATTAAAATTCGTAAAATTTCATGATTACCTTCCCTTTCAAACGTCGTCGTTTGTCCTGCTCAGTTTCCTTATCATCATTTTCATTCATAATTTCACGTTCCTAAATAAAAGGAAAGTGACATACAAGGAAGTAAAAATATATAAGATTAGTTTCATATTATTCCAAGATTCAAAAAAAAAAAAAAAAAATTGTCAAATGAAAAAAAAGAAATCACCATAAATCTGGCTTAGGAAGAAATTAAGCGAATTAGAATTCGTAATATTTCATGATTACCTTTCCTTTCAGAAGTCGCTGTTTGTCCTGCTCAATTTCCTTATCATCATTCATAATTGCAAATTCCTAAATAAAAGGAAAAAGATGTACAAGCAAATAAAATAATATAGGAAGTTCAGTTTCATATTATTCCAAGATTTTAAAAAAAAAAAATGTCAAATGAATAAAAGTAATTCACCATAAATCTGGTTGAGGAAGAAATTCTGCAAATTAGAATTCATAACATTTTACGGTTACCTTTCCTTTCAAAAGTCGTTGCTGTAAATATTGATCGAGACACAGATTTTTCAACTTTGGAAGTGCAACCTGTCAAAATTTATTGTCATATTGTTTAGTAACTTAATGAAGTAGGATAATTTGCTGATTGGAATTGAACTTCAGTGATGATGGTGATTCATGTTTTGTGATATTAGACGAGCCAAAATTCCACTTCATCACCAATGGATCAAGGGATGGCATGTGTTGGATGTACTATATACATCTAATACAAGAAAAAGAGCATACATAATTCTTTTTCTAATTCTATTTTCTTACTCTAGACATAAGACAACCGGGGTGATTATTGAGTATGGTATTACGATTAGTAGAGAATGCGGAATATTATAATTTTGTGTTGGGTGATTGAGAAACATGAAAAGAAATGGTGAGGAAGGAATATGCACACGTGGTACTCCAGGATATCTAATAATTTTCTCAATCGTAGGACCCACATTAATAAATGACTAGAGATTCATTCAAACTGTGTCTTGAAGTGTGAAAATAGGATAACAAATAAGATTATAGGCAATAGTTTTTGGTATGATTGTGGATAAAATTATTTTCTATTATAGGAAGAAAAAAAAAATGTATGAGCTTTGCTAAGCGTAAAATTGGAAACGGGAAGGAAAAAGTCTGCTCTAAGTTTTGACAAATGACATTTTGTCGAGACTTTAGTTGATAAGTATGAGATAATTTGGGATTATTTAATAATTTTCCAGTAATCTGTAATGGGTATTGTATGAGTCATCAAGTGGAATAATAGGATTGGTCTATCATAAAACATAGCACAACTAGAAATAAGAGTTGAAGGGCATTCAGTTCATACCTGGTGGTTGAGGAAGGGTTGTGTGTGGAAAGTTTTGAGGTTGTCCAAACTTTTGAGATTCAAAGTAGTTAGTTCAGGGAACAAGATGGTATTTTCATCATCGTTTTCTTTTCCCTCTTCCTCTGAGACTATTGCTAACATCTTTAGACAACTATAAGCATTGAGTACTTCCAGATTTCGTAACTGTGGAAGCATATAAGACGGAACAACATTCACCAGTTTTTCACAATCCTCGATCATCATGCGCTTCAAAAAACAAAACGACTCTCTTGAGTGCAATTTATCCCATATATTTGTTATGTGTCGTACCCTGTTTATGAACAGATCCTTCAAAATAGGGAATACAACCTGCAAGGTTTATTACATTATTGTTTAACCAATATTTAGAAACTCCTAGATATCACTATTGAACAACATTAATTTAAAAAGTGAAAAGAAAAAGGTCAAGCTATGAGAGATTGCAATTTTATTGTAATGTAATTCCTCCATTATACACCGTTAACATTTTAAAAAGGGAAAAAAAAAAATTCACAATCAAAATTAGAGGAACCAAATTAAAATTCAAACAAATTATAGGACCACTGGTACAATATAATTTATTTATTACACTAGTGGTCCTTATAGTTTGTTTGAATTTCACCTTGATCTCTCTAGTTTTACACATGATATTTTTCCATTCAAAATTCGGCAAGTGTAATTTTATTTTGGCCCCCATGTGTGTAATTCATTCACAAAAAAATTTAGATTGTTTCATTAATCTTAACCACGTGATTTTATTGTATGTCTTAAAAAAAAAATAAAGGTTTATTTTTAAAAACATACTTACTATTCATTTTTTTTTTAAAAAAAATATTAAAATCATGTAGCTATAATCATAGGTCAAATCTCTAGTTTTTCGTGAATGAGCAGACTAAATGAAGGCTTTAAATATAAGAGTAGGACTCATGATGACCCCATGGTGTGGTACAACCCACTTATGTACAATATTAGGACTTGTATTAAGTACAGATTTATACTCAAAACAAATATTTCATTGGAATAAAAATACTTTTTATTGTGCTTTCCGATGGCCATAGTTAATTAAAAGAGTTAGGACATCTGTACCTGGTCATTAAACAACGGTTGTGCTTCCGAACTTGGAGAGCTGCTGCAGAAACTTTTGAGGTTGTACAATTTGTCAATTGACAGATATCTTAGCTCAGGAAAACAAATGATATCGCCATTGACAGTTGCATTTGCTTTCTTCGAGACTATCACTTCCATCTCTGGACAACTTTTTACATAAATTGATTTTAGATTTTTTAACCTTGGAAACATACTCGAAGGAATCACATTCACCAATTTTTCACACCAAGTGGCATTCACGACAGCCAATTGTTCGAAGGACTGTGCGTCTATTTTTGGAACTGGGAGTAATTGCTTCCCCCAAATCTCCGTTATGTTAGGCAAGTTGCAAATGTGCAATTCTTCCAAGGCAGCAAAAGCAGCCTGCAAAGTAGTTCACAAATCACAGCACATTTCATAAGTGTCTTTTCCAAATCAATTCACTCCTCAGGTGAAGTCAGTATTTCTCCAACAACCGCTACACCATGAATTAATGAGCTCGTGTGGATGTGCAAATGATAGGCAATACTAACTAAACACTGTGTTGCCCTAAAACTTTTCCAGAATTCATCTGGACAAGAATGGCACAACAGAGGCCATTTTTTTAAAAAAGCACCTTGATTGTGTTTTTTTTTTTTAACTGATGGTCCCATAACTAAGGGCATCTTTAATGCTAAAATGCTAAAATTGCTAGTCAAAGCCAAATTTTGACATTGCTACAGTGTCAAAATGCTAAATGTTCGCAAGGTTAAATTACACTAACACCCCTCTGAGGTTTCTCTCTAATACATTAGTACCCTTGTGGTTCTACAAATTACATCTCCTCCCAGAGATTTATAGTCACATTACAAAACTCCCGGTCTGTTAATTGACCGTTGTTTCAACTAACATATTTTGCTTTTGTCATCAATTATTATTTTGAAAATGCCATGTTTACCCCTAAAATCCTACATTACAAAGTTCACCTCTGAACCTTTGTACTTAGAACTGTTTTGGAACCATTTGGTCGACTCCCATCTTCACCTCGGGCATGTTTGCCGAGATGTTTTGCACTTAGTGATCCTTGTCCTTGGGCAGGTATGGCCTAGACCGAGGTGTGGCACACCCAGGCCAAGGTGTGGCACAGCTTAGTCAAGTGTCGTCCTCCTTAGCCGATGTCTTTGTTACCCTGTTGCCGAAGCTTCGACTTTAACCGATGTCATTACTAGCCGATGTGTCTTGCCTTAGCTTGCTGCATACGCTTTGTCATAGACTTGTCTTATCAATCAGTCACCTTTTGAGTTCAACCAACCCGGAAGCGCCACGTGTCCGAGCTGAAGGTTAAGTCAGCCGGCAGGCCTGTGAACATATCATTCTTTTGTATCATTTTGTTGTAAGTCTTTGTTCTTGAAGAGAGAGAAACTCTAGAAGAGGGAGAAGGAGTTTTAGAGTGAGAGAGTAGAGTTCCGAGTTGACCTTTGGAGTCTGAGCCGTTAGATTCGAGCTTTGAGGTAAGAATCTTAATCTACTCTGGTTGTTGTTATTGATCATCTAGCTGCATTGCATGATCGAATCTGTTTTGCATGTCATGCATCGATTTGAAGTTGGTTTCGGAAGAGAAAAATAGTATTCATGTGTTCTTGAAGAAAAGTCTCGTTTTGATCCGAAAGTTTGGAACAAGAACCATGTTTTTGTGTTTGTTCTTGCATGATCTTCTTGTATGGGTACCCAGGTCCATGTTTTGAACTCTTGGCATGAAATCTCAATTTTTTGTAACAAGGTATGATCTTTGCATTCATCTTCTTAATGATCATGTTCATCATGTTCTTCATGTTCTCCAAAGGGAAATCCAGGTTTTCCCGACCTTGCTTTTGAATGTGGCCATCGGGACCACACCTCGGCAAGGAGGTGTGGGACCTCGGCAAAGACCTGGTTGGTACCTCGTGTGTTTTCATGAGACGGAAGCAGTGTTTAAACTCCCAGTATGTTTTGCTTTGATGTTGACTTGGATCTGGTGAGAATGCCGGGATCATTTACCTGCATGTAAAGCTTGTTTTGAGAATGTGACTGCCATGTGATTGTAGGTCCTTGATCTTTGCTTTGAGCCGACACCCGAGAAGATCAATGTGAGTGGTATTTTTAATAAAGCTATGTTATACTGTTTTGTTAGATCTTGCTTTGCTTTGTTTTGACGAAAGTATTTGTTAAGCATGAATGAATAGCTCCGTTTTGATGTATCAAGTATAAGCTTTGTTTTGATGTCATCCTTGAAAAGTCTCTTGTACTGGAGGACTCTAAACTTTCGCAGTACCAAGTATAAAAGTCCCTTGTACTGGAGGATTCTAAACTTTCGCAGTACCAAGTATAAAAGTCCCTTGTACTGGAGGACTCTAAACTTTCGCAGTACCAAGTATAAAAGTCCCTTGTACTGGAGGACTCTAAACTTTCGCAGTACCAAGTATAAAAGTCCCTTGTGCTTGAGGACTCTAAACTTTCGCAGCACTAAGTATAAAAGGATACGGTCCTTTCTTGGAAAGACTATCGTGGTAAAGCGGGCTACGGGCCTAAGTAACACAAGACCATCGTGTTAAAAAGAGCTACGGGCTTAAGTAACACAAGTCCCTTGCGCTGGAGGACTATAAACTTTCGCAGTACCTTTGACTAATCGATTACGGATCGTGCAGTCTTTGTTTTGCCACTGACGGTTTACCGCGTGGATTTGTTTGTTCAGAAAGCTTGATTTGTGTTTTGCCGATGCCAGTAAGCATCCCTTGAGACTTGTAAGACTTGATAGATGAATACGGTTCATCTCTTGTTTTGATAAAGTTTTGATGTGTTTTGCTCTGAAAGGATCTCGGCTAATATTCGTATGGTCTTGGCATGTTTTGTTTTGAAAGGACTTCGGCTATATTCATGTAAAACCTTTATTACTAGTACCATTCACTGAGTATCCAAGCTCACCCTCTCTATATATATGTAGGTGATGAGCAGGACGGCGGCGACACCTAGATGTGTTTTGCAAAGCTTGTTTTGGATTCTTGTTATGTCGGCTTGACTTGTTCTATGTCGGAAAAATTTGTGTTTACGTCGGCGAATCTTGAAGATTATGCTTCTTTGGCTTGTAATCATTGTATTTGCACATGTCGGCTTTAGAAACCTTTTGATCAAGATTCTGATATGTATTTTGTTTATTATCAACCGAATGTGAAACTATGTCATGTACGTCATTACATTTGATCTATGCACAGCTCTTATGGACCACTTGTATTTTGATTTATCGCTTCCGCATTTGTGAGCCCCATATATATTATACTCTGATTGTGTTTAAATTTTGAAAGTTGGCCTTCGGTAATCTCGGATTACTGGCCATCACGGCACCAAACTACTAGGGGCAGTTTGGGGTCGTGACAATCAATTTCTTTCTCATCTCTTCTTCACCATCTTCTCACAATCGTCACCTATTCACATAAAATCTTCATCAAGTCTCTCTCTCTTGCAACCTTATTTCATGGTATTTACATGAGATTCCTCTTTCTTATTCTTAAACAAGTCCAGGAGAGGGTTGTACTTAGTATATAGCAAATCACAAACCAGGACAAAGGTCTTAACCTTTCAACTACACAAAATGAGATTACCAGGTTTGGTCTGTAACACTCTTGATGTCCTTGGACACTGGTAGGCATTTTCATTCCCAAAGAACATGGCGAGTCTGATAACGTCGGCATGATTTGGGTGGACATTGGTGGATGTGGTAGAGATAGACATTGGTGTTGTAGTGAGGATTTGGTCAATGGTTGTGGTAATGACAAACATGGATGATGTGGGGTGGTAGTGATAGATTTGGTGGCAGTGACACAAATGGGACAGGTTTTGATTGGTTATAGTGGATGGTATGAAGGAAGGGTGATTATTCGGTACTCCTGAAGAACAGTCATGTGGTTTTCCATTGTATTATGATTGGTAGAGAAAGTAGATCATTATGATTTTGTATTGTGTGATTGAGAAACATTAGAGGGCATGGTGAATGACAATTGGTGAATGAATATGGACACGTGATACTCTGGAAGTACCTAATAATTTTCCGTGAAGAATGAGGATGAGAGAGTGGGTTGGGAAAGAAGATTCTACTATTAGATTGGGATAAATAGGTAATTTTATTTTAGAGTGTGAGGGTAATAAGGTAATTTTAAATTTTATGTTAACTCGAGTCACAAATTAGACACTTACGGGATTGCAGTGCAATTTGTGCGAGGTAGAGGGGAGAACTGTATTAAATTTAAACTTCAAAAGGTGTTAATATAATTTAGGGGAAACCTCACATTAGGGAAATGTTAAAAAAGTAAGTACAAATCAATGAAAAACTTTATAAATAGTAATAGTAATTAAATTTGTAAACTTTTTCATTAATTTATATATATATTATTTTTTTCTATCATTGGAATGTGATAACCCCTATAATTTATCCTTTTTTACCAATGTTGCTTTAATAGTGTATTGCCCATTTCTTTTATTTTTTCACAAGGAATAACATCAAAATGCCATTTGTGAATCTCATTATGAAAGGGAAAGAAAGAGAAGCTCTAGTTACAATTGATTTTTTTTTTTTTTTATACTTTATTTTTATACCTTAGTGAATTTCATTTAGAAATTTCATTTCCTTAAAAAACATATATTTTAGTTACTGCTATACTGCAAATAATAATGATAATAATAAATAATTGACATAACGATTGGTTCTACCATACTTTTATATTATGAGTTTAGATGGGCGATATAGCCCACGATTCTCTGCCCTTTCATCTGCTTATCTGAAAGAGCACCATTTTTCTCTTTTTTTGGGTGCCTTGTGTTGCTCTCCTTTTGCTCCTATTGATAAATCAAAGAGATACAAGGACAGAGGGGTTTGTGATGGATAATTACAAATTCAGATTATCAGATATAATATGTCAGTTAATGCCTAGTTTTACAAGCTCAAGGACTGGGAAACCATAAACAAAAGCATCAATTATGCAAAAAAAAAAGGACCCACTCAAATCATCATATCACCTACAATTGCAAATTCTACCATAACAATCTGGAAAAAGAACCCCAACTACTCTCTCACCAAAGAAAGTCATTTAACCCACTTTTTCCACAGTCCATACCATTGACTACAACTGCTTTATACTACCTCACATTCTCCATCAATCTAGCATGTAAATTTTGTGATTTAACACTAAATTTTGTAAATGTGCGTACTGGCTAAATTCCTTCCAAAAACACTAAAAATTATAAACTGCAGAGGAGTAAAATTGGTCACTTCATCAAGCAAAAGGATTTGTTTTTATAGATATACAAAGGGGATTTTCATGGATTTTGATGTAGAGCTGCATATGTTGCAAAACATCTGTTGTGTAATTGCAGTTTACATTCCTAAAACAATATAGCTGAATCTGATGCATAACTATAAGCAAGAGCAAGATGGATATGGTGTGGTGTCAGATATAGGGATTTGAATGAAAACAGTAATTATACTTTTATTTGTATAAATGCATATGTTTATGTGCACAGATATTATTATGTGTTTTCCTATTTCCAAGGTCAACTAAAAAGGGTAAGGACATGCATACCGGGTGTTTGAAGAAGTGTTGTGCTGCTAGTCTAGAGGTACAGAAACTTTTCAGATTCTCCAGAGATCCAAGTTCAAGACTCTTTAGTCGAGGGAACAAGATGGTATTTTGTTTGGCTCCTGCATCTGCTTTTTCTTCTCATTTCTCCGATAATATCTCTTGCACCATTGGACAGTATTGTACAGAGAGTTTTGTTAAATTCTGCAATCGTGGGAGCATATTGGACGGAATCACATTCACCAGTTTGTCACATCCGTCGATCCTCACCTCTCTTAGTTGACAAAAAGACCGTCTTGGGTGTAATTTCCTGTCCCACACATCTGTTATGTTTGGCACCCAACCAATGGCCAATACCCTCAATTTGGGGCATGCAATCTGCAATGTTCATTACATAATTGTTAAATGACCCTCCTGAAACTTTTATTCCCAGGTCAACATTATCCAATAACATTTACTGCAACACAACAAAAGTAGGAATCACAAAATATTCAAATAAGATGCAATCTAGAAGTCTAAGAAACACTCTTCAATCGAATTATATGTTACAACATTAAATATATAAACACACAAACTACACAGAATGAAGCCAGGGAGACATTGCCTTCATTCTATGCAATTCCACGACCTAGTCATTCCAGTGTCATTGGCTATCAACTCCTCTGAAGAACCAGTGACTAAGGGTGTCAACTCCGAAGAAGAATGGCAATCAACTTCTCCATGCTAACTCGGATAATCAAATGATGAAATAATAATGAAAATGAAAAATGTTAAATAAGCTGCATTTTTATTCAAATTTCCTTACTGGCAATGACATACTTGTAGATTATTATAGTAAGTCATATCATTTTGTATAATAATTCTATACAATTTTTCTAGGGAAAATTATGAAAACAAACTCTAGGGTTTGTCCTTTGTAAAAAAAAAAAAAAAAAAACTAAGGTTTTAATTTTGTTAATTTAAATCCTATTCTTTTGATTTATTTTCAATATAAAATATCTTTTTATTTTTGTTAAGTAAAATCAATGGAAAAATGATATTTTAGCCATTAAATTTAACGGAAAAAGTATTTGAGACATTTTATGTAAGCGTATATTGAGTTTACTATAGCTTTAAATAATGCATGCAAATCATATATATATATATATATATATATATATATTATTAAAAGTAGTGTTTTCCTCATGCTTAGGTGGCATAAGGACTTATTTTTTTCTAATAGAGCCACGTCAGCATGTATTTTACCTATTTTAAATTATACTAATAAATTTACCTATTTTAATTACATAGAGAGTTCTACACAAACTCAAACCTAATTTAAATTATAACTTTACCTATTTTATATGAACTCTTTTTGACAAATATTTCTTTTCCATATATTTTTATGATAAATTGAGATAATCCACAAATCCAATACCAATTTTCTGTTTCATGTTTTTTTTTTTAATTGTTTCAAGGGTGTTAGAAATTTTTTTTTTAATACTAAATTGCCTTCTTTTTTTTCATATTTTCTCGTGCATTATTCTGTACCCAATACCAATTCTATATTATAGATTTGTCGTTTAAATTTTATTGTGATTCTATATATGAAATTATACTTCATTTCCTACATTATTTTATATAATCACAACTCACTAGGGGAAAAATCTACACAACAATGAGACTCTCGAGGAACCTCAAAAGTTCTGATTTCCTACTTAAGTTATTTTTTCAATTATTGAACAGTAAGTTCTTTTATGTTTTGACATCATATTACATATGATTAATCATTTCTCATACTGAGATGTATCCATCGTTTGGATGTTTTACTATTTTTTTCTTTTTGGGTTTAGATATTATTATGTAATTCTTTCTTCCTTAGTCGTTATTGAATTTCTTTTATAGTTGGTTTTTTAATTTAATTAAGAGTGGTTATTTTACAATCTTATAATTTAATATATATATATATATATATATAATATAAAATCATTATATGATAATCCAACTACAGCATATTTATATTTAATTTTTTAATAAATTTTATATAATTTCTATTTCTACATATTTTATCTTCTAAATGAATATAAAAGAAAATTAAATAGTTAGAATTACTTTTAATTTTATGTTAACTATTATTTTTAATATCAAAATGAGTATTTATTTTACTATTTTATAATTTAATACATATCATACAAAATTATTATATGATAATTACAGTTTTATAATATGATATAACTAAAATTATCGAAATACACAAATAATTTAACTAAAATTAATATATTTAAGTATTCAAGTAACAATTTTATAGAACAATAGTGCCAATATTATCAAAATAAATAATTAAATCATACTTTAACTTTAACTTTAAATTTAAATTTAATTTTAATATTAAATTAAAATTAAAAATTTTCTTACATAACACACATTGTACTATCAAATATTTTTAAAAAAAAAAAATTGAACGTGTATTGCACAGGTCAATTGTTAGTTTATATTATTAAAAGTAGCGTTTTTCTTATACTTAGATGGCACATTGTAAAGATTTACCTTTTTCTTAAGAGAGCTATGTTAGCATATATTTTTTTAATTACATATAGAGTTCTATATGAACCCAAACATAATTTAAATTATACTAACTTTACTTATTTTATATGCACTCTATTTGACAAATGTTTATTTTCCATATGTTTTTCATGGTAAATTGAGATAATTCACAAACCTAATATCAATTTTGCATTTTACATTTTTCTTCTTAATTGTTTCAAGAGTATTAAGATTTTTTTTTAAATACTAAATTGCCTTCTTCTTTTTTGTTTTTTTTTTTGGTGCATTATTCTATACCCAATATCAATTCTATATTATTCCATATTATGGATTTGACATTTAAATTTTATAGCGATTCTATATATAAAATTATATTTCATTTCTTACATTATTTTATATAATCATAACTCATAAGAGGAAAAACGTACACAACAATGATACTCTTGAGAAACCTCTAAAGTTTCAAATGTTGAATAGTAAGTTCTTCATGTTTTGACATCATATTACAAATAATTAATCACTTCAAATACTGAGATGTATCTATCGTTTGGATGTTTTTATTATTTTTTCTTTTTGGATTTAAATATTGTTATGTGATTCTTTCTTAATTAGTTGTTGTTGAATTTCTTTTATATAATTGATATTGTAATTTAATTAAGAGTGTTTATTTTACAATCTTATAATTTAATATATATATATATATCATATAAAATTATTATATGATAATCCAACTACAACATATTTATATTTAATTCTTTATTATAATTTCTATTTCTACATATTTTTATTTTTCAAATGAATTTAAAAGAAAATTAAATTGTTAGAATTACTTTTAATTTTATGTTACTAATTCTTCTTCTAATTTAATTATTTTAATATCAAAATGAGTATTTATTTTATTATTTTTGTAGCGATCCAGGCTTAGACCCAATCCATTTATTATTTTTGAATCTGGGAAATCATAGTTGTGATGGTCGTTCTTTTCTCTTCATATTTGGTTTTGGCTTCGAGGGTCAACACTACCCCTCTTATCTTTGCTTTGTTAAGCTCCAAGTGTCAACAACAGTGTTGGCAGGGGCGACACCATCTTGCTGTTGTGTTCTTGGAATAGCTACTAAAATTTAGTGTCAACACCAGTCTTGGAGGTGTCGGCACTTGTCTTTTGTTGCTGGCCTTTGGGGTTGACACTAGTCTGGAGGTGTCAACCATTGTCTATTGCAGAATTTGGGGTTTGCTTGCTGAAATTTAGTGTCGACACCAGTCTGGGAGGTGTCGACACCTTGCCTGCTGCCAAACACAAGTGTCCCAGCTTTTCTTCTTAAGAGTCGATACCACTGTTGTAGGGGTCGACCCCTTTGACTCTTTTTCTAGATTTTTAGTCGGTTTTGGGCCCTACTTCTTGGGGATTTTGACTTGTTCTTTTGGGTTGACTTTAGGACTTCATTTTACTTTGACCTAGCACTATAAATAGGTCCCTCACTAAACATTTTCTTCAATTTTTCTTCTCTTTTCTCCCTCTAAACCGTGGCACACTCTCTCTCTCTCTCTCTCTAAAATCACTTTTTTGCTCAAAGATCTTTAGATTTACCCACTTGGAAGCATCCCCTCACTTTGCTCCTTTGAGATTAAGTGTAGAGCTTGTCAAGGGTTTCATTTTGATCAGAGCAAATCGTTGTTTCATCACCGTCAACTTTTGGGTTTTTCTTTCTTCTCCCTCTTCTAAGTTTGAGGTAAGGATTTTCTATACTCTTCTATGGGTTTTACCTTAGCTTGCTATTCCAAAAGATTATGGTGTTTTGGGGGTTTTTGTCGAAAACCTAGGGTTTGGAATCAAAATGTAAAAGAGGGGTTTTTGCCCAAAAATGTGAATGTTTGAGATTGTGAAGAGAAAATGGAATTGTTATGGAAATTATGAAATTGAAATGATGATAATGATGAGGGTGGAGTTGGATATGTATTATCACTCCCATTTTGAGATTTTGGAAAAGTGTATCTTTAATGAAATTTATATATCTGTTTAGAAATATCTGTTTTAGGCTATCGGTGGAGGATAACTATGATTGTTGTAGAAATTTTATGAGAATTGGGTAAATTGAAACTATTTTTCTCATTCATTTATATTGAGTCTTGTCATATCTTAAATACAATGCACGTGTATGATGTTTTGGAGAAGAAATGGGATGTATTCCATGTTTTGGAGAAGAAAGGGGATGTACTTCGTTGAATTAAGTTGGCGGGAGTGTCCAAGGTGAAAGTTTTGAAAATTATGAGTATACATGGGTGCCGATTCCCACGGATGAAATATCCGTAAGATGGCAAACGAAAGTGTTTTGTATAATAATTGTATTGATTAGAGACCCACTGAGTTGTATCCTCAGCTTGGTTGTCTAAATAGAATAGAAAGGACTCATGAATTGAGATAACATGGATTAAACTTGAGTTCGACATAGCATGATTTTGTACAAAAGTTACAAATGATTTTATCACGGGCATTGTATGTGCTCACTGTGCTTATATCTTTGTTAAGATTCATATATTGTGTTAGATTATCTTTACTGGGCTTAGGCTCACCCTATGTGGGAAAAACATTTCAGGTGCTGACGAAATGCCTTCACCAAGACACTAGTTCTGGAGGATCTAAGGCAAGAGCTTCGTTTTTTTGTTGTTATGTATAGCCAAGGGCTTAACTGTATTGGATTTAAAATCCACTTTTGTTATAACCAAGCCTCGTCTTGGAAATATGTAAGCCCTCAGGGCATTTTTATCTGTTTATCTTCCTTCATCTCCTTTAACTGGCAACATATGCTATAGATTTAGAGCTAGACTTTATGAATGTATGATGCATATGTTTCTCTTTTGTATATCATATTGAATTAATGGAAGATAACCTTATTATTGATGTTATCATATATTGGATATTGTGGATAGATTATTGTAATTGTTTCGGGGCGTTACAATTTTATAATTTAATATATATCATACAAAATTATTACATGATAATTATACTTTTATAATATGATAGAACTAAAATTATCAAAATACAAAAATACTTTTATTAAAATTAATATATATATATATATAAGTATTCAAATAATAATTTTATAAAACAATAGAGCCAATATTATCAAAATAAATAATTAAAATCATATTTTAATTTTAAATTTAAATTATTCTTTTACAACACATATTGTACCATCAAATATCTTTAAAAAATAAATAAATAAATAACACGTGCATTGCACAGATCAACTGCTAGTAGTGCTATAAAGCAAACAAAATCCAAAACGATGGTAATTTACCGCTGATGAAGGAGCAAATTGGTGTCTACATTTAAGAAATTCAAATAACTAATAATAAAAAAAATAATAAAGAATTTAATATCATAATATATATGTTGCTTAAGTAATAAATATGTTCTTAATAAAACCCAATGTCTTTGGTTCAAAACTTGCATACGCTATGTATAATAATTTTTTTATTTTAGAATATATAAAGTTTCCAAGTGGCATGAGGAGAAGAAGATTTCACTAAACCAATTTAGGCCTTCACTTAATAATAGTATATATAGATATCGGCCAAACTGAAAGGCAAAAATATTTCCAATTGTAAACTTACGCTTGTTTTGACAAGTGGGTTAAAAGTCATTTTTTGATTTTTAACCTATTTTGAGTCACATCACTCTCTACTTTTTTTACACATTTTTTTCAAACATAATTTGAAAAAAAAAACCAAAAAATTAGCTTTTAACCAATTTCCTAAAACAAGCTTTATAATAGAGTCCACGTCAATGTTAAAAAAATTACAATGCTGAAAATAATTTTAGGTAATTCATATATTTATATATTAATAGAAGAAAGAAAGGCACATATCGTGTGCCGCTCAAGTAATAAGGGCTTTTTTTTTTTTATCAGACCAAAACTTTTGGTTTCGAGTCTCATTCTCCTCTCTAGATCAATTGTAACTATGGCCCAATTGAACTCATCTTCCTTTATTTGAATTTGGTTTCAATTCATATGTATATATATATATATATATACAAAGTTCAAATTCAAACTCAAAAAACTAAATTAGATTGGAATTCTAATCTTAATATTATTTTCTCAAGTGCTTTATTTATTTATTTATTTATTTACTTATTTTTGTTTAAAAGCATTAGGAGATTTGTACCTGATGGTTGAACAAGGTTTGTTTTTTTGAACTACTAGTCCAGCAAAAAGTTTCGAAGTTACGTAAATTGTCTAGTCTCATAGTCCTTAGTTGAGGGAATGCAATGACATCATCATTTCTTTTCTTTTCTTGGGCCATTGCTTTCACTTTTGAATTATTGGATTGAACAGCATTCATCAATTTCTCAAAACAGTTGACTTTCCGTTCGCAGGGAAATTGCTTGCCCCAAATCTTAGTTATGTTAGGCACCCCAAAAATAAGCAACTCCTCCAAGGTTGGGAAAGCGACCTGTACAAGGCATTTCCTTCGTGAAAACAATGGTCTACTTAAATCAACATTCTTCAACCACAAACATTATGCAATGAATATTCAAAAAAAAGTTTTGAGTGGCATACAAGATGTAATCAGTGTGTTTGGTTTGAATTTTCTGGATTAAGTTTTTTGAAAACTGACTTTTTAGTTTTCATGTTTTTTTTTTGTTTTTAGTGAATATTTTTTAAATTTTAAACATTTTTTTTTACTTTTTTAGATGCACCTTACTTAGATGTATCTAAAAAGTAAAAAATTTGTGAAAAAATATTTTAAAAAATTTATAAATACATAAAAATACAAAAAATGTACTGAAATCTTGTATTTTTCTTGTATTTTTGGTATTTAGTGAATTTTAAAAAGATTTTTTTTACAATTTTTTTACTTTTTAGGTGTATTTATGTTAGGTGTATTTAAAAAGTAAAAAAATTACTTAAAATATTAAAAAAATTCAGTAAAAATAAAAAAACACGAAAAATAAGAAAGTAGAATTTTCTGAAAAGTGTTTTTTAAAAAGTGGAAACAAGCAAGGTGAATAATTTTTATATTTTCATGCAAAAATATATATACACATTTATAAATATTTATTGGGAAAATTACATTTTACCTCCTCATCTGTTATACTTGAACTAAAAAGTTTTAACACTTAACCCCCTTATCTATTTTATTTTATTTTTTTCAATTTGGACCTTCATGACGAAAATATTTTTTCAACTATATCTACCACTCAATATCACTCTACCCCTGCAATTAAAAATATTGTTTAATTTTTAAGCTAAAATACAATTTTTTTTGTTTTTTTTTTTCCAATACTTTAGTAAGGAAATTTAAATTTTTAGATGCACCAAAAAAGTAAATATTTGTGAAATATTTTTTAAAATTCACTAAAGATGACAAAAAATTGGCATATTTTTGTATTTTTTGTCTTTTCATAAATATGTACTTTTTAGATCCATCCCGAATAGATGTACCTAAAAATAAAAAAGTTTCAACTAAAACTAAAAAAAAATCATTAAATAAAAAAAAAATTTAAAAAGAAAAAGAAAAAGAAAAAGAGAAGACTCAAAAATAGCTTTTAAAAACTAAACCAAATAGATAATGTCATTTTAGGCATTCCATTTGAGATGCCATTTATAAGTTACGTGTCAAATTTTAATGTATTTAAGAGACATATCCTTAACAAAATATTTACATTGATATAAATTTATAATTCGGAGTGATAAATGTATTATTTTTTAGGATATGGTTTCCCTCCAGTTCGCGATCGGACTGGAGGGTATTGTTGGCCTCATGGGGGCCCACAATGGATTCCATTTCGATAATCTGAACCGTTCAATGTATAGAACTCGTCGAGTACTATATGCTTGTAAAAAATCACGTTAATCGGATATCGATAGCTACATGATCAAATCAAATTTCTGTCAACCGTTTATTTTTTCACCGTCCATTTTTTTATAATACAAAACTGATTTGATCATGTAACTATCAATATCCGATCAACGTGATGTCTTACAAATACATAGTACTTGACGAGTTCTATACATTGAACGGTTTGAATTATCGAAACAGAAATCGTGTGGGCCCTTATGGGCCCAAAAGTACCCTCCAATCCAATCATGGACTAGAGGGAAGCCATACCCTATTTTTTAGTTGAAGGAGTCAAGTGAGATTGGGTGATAGTTTAAGACAGTAAAATGTAATTTATCCTATTGATGAAAGGGTATTTTTATCATAAAAGTCCAAATTGAAAAAAAAAAAAAAAATTAGTAGACAAGGAGAGTTAGGTGTACAAATTTTAATTGAGGCGAGTAAACTCATATAGTTAATATGGATAAAATATAAAAAAAAAAATTGGGTCAATTGATAAGAGAGTAATTACAAATATGAGAGATATTTATATCATCAATCAGACTACTAAAATGTAATTTATCCATATTTGTTTGGATTTTTTTTAATTATCATATGAGCGTGATTTTAATATGTCATATTCATGTCTATGATTCTGAATATACCGTATTAATTATTTGAAAGGGGAACAAAAAAATCACATGAAGTTTATGTCATATTTAGTAATGCTAATCAGAGTTTTCCTATAGAAATTTAGATCTTTTTATTGTATAATCACATTTTATGACACAGTATTAACTCTCTCTTTTTTTCTCCCTAGATTTCAATTTTCACATTTTTTTTTTAAATTTATTTACAGCAAATCTTATTAGAATTAAGAAACTATGTCAAAGTGGAACAATCAAAGTATTGCAAAGAGTAACTGAGATGCTTCCATGGATTCAGAACCTTGTCCTCATAATAAGAATATAATGATTACTTTATTTTATAGAAAAAGTTAAGAAAGAACCAAAGAAAGAGAGAGAAGACATTAAGAAAAGAAGACATGCGCACATACCTTGTCGGGGAACAGAGATAGGAAGGTAGGATTATGGTTTTCCATTGACTCTGAAAATGGATTATTGCTATTGAGGAAGAGCCACTTGAGTTGTGGTAGATACTCTAGATGCAATTTCTTCAATCGAGGGAACTCAATCTCGTCAGTCCCTCTGCAAAAACCAATGAGCATTGGTAGACTCTTCAAAATCATGGATTCTAACGCTGGAAACTCCATCTTGCTTGTTGCTTCATCTTCTCCTTTTTCCTTCCAAGTAACTTCATCCATTCTATCACAATTCTCTATTTCAAGATGTTTTAAATTTCTAAAAGAGCCGGTTGGAAGTTGGAAGTGCTTGCCCCATATCTTTCTTAAATTGGGTAGATTACAGAGAACTAATGACTCCAAGCTAGGGCCATTGTTGACTTTCCGTTCGGAGGGAAATTGCTTGCCCCAAATCTCAGTTATGTTAGGCACCCCAGAAATAAGCAATTCCTTCAAGGCGACCTGTACAAGGCATTTCCTTCGTGAAAACAATGGTCTATTGAAGGCAACATTCTTCAACCACAAACCTTATGCAATGAATATTCAAAAAAAAGTATTGAGTGGCATACAAGATGTAATAATTTTTGTATTTTTATGCAAAAATATATATATATACACATTTATAAAAATTTATTGGGAAAATTACATTTTACCCCCCTCATCTATTGTACTTGAACTAAAAGTTTTAACACTTAAACCCCCCCCCCATCTATTTTATTTTATTTTTTTCAATTTGGACCTTCACGACGAAAATATTTTTTCAACTATATCTACCACTCAATATCACTCTACCCCTACAATTAATAAATTGTTTAATTTTTAAGCTACGATTAAAAAAAAATGTTTTTTTTTTTTTCTTTTCATACTTTAGTAAGAAAATTTAAATTTTTAGATCCACCTAAAAAGTAAAAATTTGTGAAATATTTTTTAAAAATTCACTAAAGATGAAAAAAAACTGGTATATTTTTGTATTTTTTGTCTTTTCATAAATATTTAATTTTTAGATGCATCTAGAATAGATGTACCTAAAAATAAAAAAGTTTTAATTAAATCTTAAAAATTTTCACTAAAGACAAAAAAAAATGCAGAAATAGCTTTTAAAAACAAAACCAAACCAACTGATAATGTCATTTTAGGCATTCCATTTGAGATGTCATGTATAAGTCACATGTCAAATTTTAATGTATTTAAGAGATATATCCTTAACAAAATATTTACATTGATATAAATTTATAATTCGAATTGATAAATGTATTATTTTTTAGTTGAGGGGGTCAAGTGAGATTGGGTGATAGTTTAAGAGAGTAAAATGTAACTTATAATATTGATGAAAGGGTATTTTCATCATAAAAGTCCAAATTAAAATAAAATTAGTAGACGAGGAGAGTGAGGTGTTACGAATTTTAATTAGTAAACTGATATTGTCGAGATGGATAAAACGTAAATTTTTTTTTGGTCAATTGATAAGAGAGTAATTATAAATATGAGAGATATTTATATCATCAACCAGACTATTAAAATGTAATTTATCCATTTTTGTTTAGATTTTTTTTAATTGTCGTGTGAGCGTGACTTTAATATGTCATATCCATGTCTATGGTTCTAAATAGACCGAATTAATTTTTTGAAAAAGGGAAGGAGAAAAAAATCTCACATGAAGTTTATCTCATCTATACTATATATTAAGTAAAATGGGATTTTTAACCCCAAGTCTTGTGGGAGCTCCAATCTCCCAATCTAAATTTCCTGATTTTTTGATTTAAAAATATATATATATGCTACATTTATTAGCATCTCCCAACTCCCAAGTATCACCCTTATAATAACACTTTAATGCATTAAGAACAAGCATAAAAAAAAATTCTTTAAAATCCAACACATATAATTATTATCCTTCATAATAACACTTTAATGCATTAAGAACAAACATAAAAAAAATTTCTTGAAAAGTCTAACACATATGATTATTATCAAAACAAATATAATAAATTTTCATTTTCATTACTTCAATTATAAAACATCAATATTTTCTTTCAAAATTACGTATATTTTATACTAATAATTTAAAAATATGTCTGACATAATCATAAATAATTTTTTAAAATCTAATCTCGTGCATAGTACGGGTAATATTATTATATATACTATATATTAAGCAAAAGGGAGTTTTTAACCCTCAAGGTCTGTGAAAGTTTCAAATTTATTTAAAAAAAAATCTCAGCATTTGTTGATTTGGTCAAAATCTCCTGATCAGCATTTATTAAATTTTTTCAGTCCACATGTCTTTTCACAAGCCTACATTTATTGATTTGGTCAAAATCCCTAATCAGCATTTAAAATCTCATCATACAAATAATTATAGATACAATCCATGTATAATTACTGCAGTACTCTTTTCAACTTCTCCCATACACTATGGTAAGTGATAAGACTGTTAAATTATTTTTATAAAAAATCTTTAAAAACATAATTTATATATTAAGAAAAATCTAAAACAAATATAAAAATATCTATAATTATCCCGTGCATAGCACGGGTGATAGGCTAGTCTATACTATATATTAAGCAAAATGGGGTTTTAAACCCAAGGCCTGAGGGAGCTACAATATCCCAATCTGAATTTTCTAAATTTCTTATTAAAAAAAAAAACTCAGTATTTATTGATTTGATCAAAATCCCTTGATCAGCATTTATTAATTTTTTTCAATCCACATGTCTTTCCATATGTCTGCATTTATTGATTTGGTCAAAATCTCCTTATCAGCATTTAAAATCCCCTCATACAAATAATTATAGATACAATCCGTGTATAATTACTGCAGTACCCTTTTCAATTTCTCCCATACATTATGGTTAATGATAAAATTGTGAAATTATTTTTATAAAAAATCTTAAAAAACATAATTTATATATTAAAAAAAAATCTAAAACAAATATAAATATTTATAATTATCCCGTGCATAGCACGGGTGATAGGTTAGTATTTAGTAATGCTAATTAGAGTTTTCCTATAGAAATTTAGATCTTTTTATTGTATAATCACATTTTATGGAACAGTATTAACTATCTTTTTTTTTTCTCCCTAGATTTCAATTTTCACATTTTTTTTAAAATTTATTTACAGCAAATCTTATTAGAATGAAGAAACAATGTCAAAGCAGAACAATCAAAGTTTTGCAAAGAGTAATTGAGATGCTTCCATGGTTTCAGAACCTTGTCCTCATAATAAGAATAGAATGGTAACTTTTTTTTTATAGAAAAAATTAAGAAAGAACTAAAGAAAGAGAGAGAAGACATTAAGAAAAGAAGACATGTGCACATACCATGTCAGGGAAAAGAGATAGGAAGGTAGCATTGTGGTTTTCCATTAACTCTGAAAACGGATTACTGCTATTGAGGAAGACCCACTTGAGTTGTGGTAGATACTCTAGATGCAATTTCTTCAATTGAGGGAACTCAATCTCGTCAGTCCATCTGCAAAAACCAATGAGCATTGGTAGACTCTTCAAAATCACGGATTCTAATGCTGGAAACTCCATCTTGCTTGTTGCTTCATCTTCTCCTTTTTCCTTCCAAATAACTTCTTCCATTCTATCACAATTCTCTATTTCAAGATGTTTTAGTTTTCCAAACGAGCCGGTTGGAAGCTGGCAGTGCCATATCTTTCTTAAATTGGGTAGATTTCTCAGCTTTAATTTCTCCAGGATAGGAAAAATAGGAGGAATTGCATTAAGTGTACGCGGGACCCATTCCATTGTATTGACAACTCCTTTTTCCTTCCAAATAACTTCTTCCATTCCATCACAATCCTCTATTTCAAGATGTTTTAGTTTTCCAAAAGAGCCGGTTGGAAGCTGGCAGTGCCATATCTTTCTTAAATTGGGTAGATTTCTCAGCTTTAATTTCTCCAGGATAGGAAGAATAGGAGGAATTGCATTAGGTGTACGCGGGACCCATTCCATTGTATTGACAAGACATTCTGGTGTAGCACAATTACGAATTACTAGTTCCGTCAAGTGTTGGAGTCCTTCAACTCCCTCTCGAAACAACTCTTGCACTGCATCCTCCGAATCCTTCCCCATTAATTCTAGAACTGCAGTACTCCTGAACAACGAAATGATCCCACCGCTTTCTAATGTGATAGTACATGTGCCATGAGGATAGAGACCCAAAGGCTTTCTGACTAATGGGATTCTTAGCAAACACACGACATCTTTTATAATAATCTCTAAAGTATTCAAATTGGACAAGGATTCAAACTCTCTCAAGCTCGCATTTTCTCGTTTCCAAATGATTCCGCAGCCACCCATGTACAACTCTTGTAATTGGACTAGGGCTGATATGACACCAGGTGCTATTCTTTTAAGTTTACGACATCTTGTCAGATCTAACAACTTTAAATTAACCAGTCCTCCTATGTCCTTGGGCAACTTCTCAATGTTGGATCCACGAAAGCTGAGAATTTCCAGATTCAATAGCTTTCCAATTACAGATATATTATCAAACTTCTGACAGTAATCAAGATGTAATGTCAACAGGTTGCTCAAGAATTGCAGTGATGACAGCAGTAACGAGATGTCTTCCGTGATTCTCAGGTCCAAAACTTTGAGTTCCTGCATGCCCTCAAAAAAATTGCTTGGTATTTTTAGTTAATTATTCTGGCATTCTATTAGTAAAAACTCAAGTTTTGGGCATCTCAATCCTCCTGGAAACTCGACAATTTCATTTGACATCACCGAAATGGAAGTGTTAAGCTCATATGTAGCCTTCTTTGGCCACTCTCCCGATTTGGCACCATGGATTGTCATAAAACCATGCTTGTCTTTAGCCACAATTGATATGGCGACATCACGCACTACATCGTGCATTTTTATTTGCTCCTCCTCATCACCATCCAACAGTAAATAACAGCATTTAAGGCAATCAACAAAGACATTCACTCGATCTCTTACTTCATCCACTTTGTCGATGCCTTTAAACCACCGCAATCCGATTCCGTATCTAACCAAATCTTCAATATGAATATTAAAGCCTTCTGGAAACAAGCAACAGAGCAGAAACAGCTTCTTGGCCCTCTCAACTGTTAGAAAATTGTAACTAAAATATAGAGCTTGATACACTTTTGCAAGCAATCCTGACGACAAACTTTCTGAAGAAGGGGTTCTTAGTTGTTGAAGCGCATTATTCCAATGACGTTGGTTGCGTTCGTTTGTAAGAGCCCTTCCGATAGTTACGAGGGCAAGTGGTAAACCTCCACATTCATTTACAATCTGTTTTGCTAGTGGTAGCAGATCAAGGTCCTCAGCACAATCGCCTACCGTCTCTCTAAAGAGATGCCATGGTTCGTCACCCACTAGGACCTGAAGTTGGATGTACCTTTTATTTTGTATTCGTTTCCATAGATTTCGATTTCGTGAAGTGAAAAGGATCTTGCAACTCTTGTTGCTGCCTCCTTCCGAAGGAAATCCCCAGTCCTCGAGATCAAATTGTTTCCAAATGTCATCCAATATGACTAGAATTTTCTCATCGTTCTGTAGAAGTCTATAACGTAGCAGACGTGATCGTACCATTGTGTTCCCCATGCCAAGTTGTAAACCCAACATTTCTGCAATACAACTTTGAACCTGCACGAAGTCTGGCTCTTGGCTGACAACTGCCATTGCAACTTTATTAAAGAGTTTCTCTTCTTCCACTCGTTTGGCAACCTGTTTGACCATTGTTGTCTTGCCCACTCCCCCCATCCCGCATACCCCAATCAGGTTGATCTCGTCATCCTTCAGAGCGTCGATGATTTGCTTCACAATCAAATTTCGAGACTCAAACCCCTTGAATCCTGTCGAGGGTAGAGCTTGGATGGATGGTGGTGGTGAACTGTGGGACAACTGAGTGTACTTGATGCCCTCAGTATGAAGATCGACAAGATCTGGAATCATGATCGCGGCTTTTCTACTCAGTGAGTAACGGGGCCCACACCACCCATTCAAACATCCCGTCTGAACTCGGGCCTCGGATTCAATAATTGTATCTGCCTCTGCAATTTTGTTATTTGCTTTAATCAGCCATGTATCAGCTTCAGGAACGGATCTCAGATTGTTGCGTGCTTCTACGACCCATAGCTGAACCCCTTCTCTAGTCGCTTTCAGGTCCCTCAATTGAGTTTGAAGCTTTTGAATGTTAGGTGTCGAAGCAAAACAGATGATCAAATTCACTTCTAATTAGATCAAACAAGAATTGCCCGAATTTCCCCAAAATACCAGAAACAACTGGCTCAGCCATTTAAACTTGTTCTTCCGCAGATGCTGTTTCGGTTAAAGTTTAAAAAAAAAAAAAAATCAACAAACAAATACAAGATGAAAGATGGATCCAATATATATCCACAAACCAAAGCATAGTTTGGGATACTTAAAAATATAAATGAATAAAAAATCCACTAAAACTGCAACCCCAAACACAAGATTGAAAGTTTATCTTCTTTTGTTTTTTAGGTAAATTACACTCACCTCCCATGAGGTTTGAAAAAAATAAAATTATTTCTATACTTTTGACATAATTATACTAATCACCCTTAATGTTTTAAATTATATAACACTTGGGTCTTTTTTAATCATTAATTTGTGAGTCGTATGAATAAAAAAATTATATTAACTTGTCTTTTCTTCTAAACTATATATTTACCTTTATTTATTTATGTGTCTATCCACTATGTGCATTAATTTTGATGACTTTAACTTTATTAAACGAAAAATTAGTCTAATTATATTAAACTTGTAAAACTAATTATATTTTTATCAAATAAGTGTGTGCAATTTGTTTTTTTTTATTATTTTATTCATGTAACAAATTAGACTAATAACCACAAAACGGTAAAAAGAATGAATGTCCTTAACAAGAAAAAATACTATACAAATATGATTTTGTACCAAAAAAATATATATATAGAATGACAGGGCTTTTTAATAATCCTTTCATTTTTAGTCAAAATACCTATAGTATATCACGAGCAGTGGTAGATGCAGGAATTTTAGTTAGAGGGGGTCGCATTCAAATTTCACAATTACATTTCCAGGTAATTCTATTTGTATATCATACAAGTTCTCAGTACACACCACAAATATATTCGGATATACATTTCGAAACCAATATCAAATGTTCAGATTTAGATTTATGAACATATAGTAGTTGTTCGAATATAAATAATTGAAAGGACATATATTTGAACAATTTATTTGTATTCATAACTTTAAATCTAAACATTTCATATATTTGTTTAGAAATTTATATTAAACACATTTGTAGTGCATACTAATAGTTTTTATGGTATGCAAATAGAATTTTCTTAAATTTTAATTCCTTCATTAATAGTAAATCATCATACATAAGATAAGTACATCAAAAGATACACTTTTATAGCTCTACACAATAAGAGTAAAAGATGCACTTTTTATAGCTATAAAAAATAAGAGTATTATTCGTCTGAATAAGGGCGGCTTAACAAGAGGTTTAATGCGAAATCTTAACGAGCAACCTTTTCTTACATTTAAATGATTATAAATTTTTAATGTTAAATACATTTTCCTCTCCAACTTTTTTATTAGTCTTGAGATTATTCACAACCTTTATTATTATTTGGGGGAAAAAAATGAATCTTATAATTAAATTTTTGGAGAATATATATATATATATATTAAAGCTTTATAATTGAGGGTCTTTGAAAAATGAGAATTTTTAAGTTTTACTACTGAAGGTCTTTTGAATAATGAGGAATTTTATCATACTTTTATTATTGGAGCAACTATTTTTGACTTTTAATACATTGTTCCACACTAATAATTATTTATCCCCCCTCGTATAGTTAAATAAAATATGAGAACAAAAATTTACATACCTGACTATATAAATAAATCATAATAAAATTACAACATAAAAATATCTTACAAAACACTCAAAAACTTTTCTTCAGATTTAATTTTCAATTACAATAAAAATTATTAATATAAAATAATAATATTTTTATTATTTAAGAATTTTTGAATATATATAAACTTGTGGGGGCCACCTCTCACATGGATGATGGGATCCTTGGAGGGGTCATCCGTTATCACTTCACCAAGTCAGCAAGATTTATTTTTCAGAGAATTGAATTTTTTTTTTTACTGATTTTTTTAATATTTTAAGTAATTTTTTTAATTTTTAGATATATCTAGCATAAATATATTTAAAAATATAATATTTATGAAAAAAAAATCTTTAAAAATTTATTAAATGCCAAAAATACAAAAAAAAAAAACAAACAAACAAACAAAAATTCAATACATTTTCTTATTCTTGATATTTATTGATTTTTTAAAATATTTTTTTACAAATATTTTACTTTTTAGATATACATAAGTAAAGTACATCTAAAAAAGTAAAAAAAATTACCTACAATTTTAAGAATATTCATTAAAAATAAAAATAAAAACGAAAAAAAAAAACTCAAATTTTAAAAAATTAAAACTAAACACAGTAAATATAACATAAATTAATGGAGTTTGTGGAAGTTTTGCAGGGGCCACAAGCACCGTTCCGTCCACCTAGGAGTATTATCATATCATTCTAAATATGTTTTATGTATAAAAATTATGTTTTTAAGCATATGACAATTAGGGGTTATCAATAGGTCGGGTTGGATTTATCTAGACTGCAATTATATTATGTCTAAATCTTATATTTAGAATTGGTACAGGCCTATTTAAAAAATTAAAATCACGTTTCACTCATAAACCCAAATCTTATGAGTCACAATCAAACCGAACTAGGCTACACATTTTTCATTACACTTATATTATTAAGCCTCCGTTTGGGAAGTGGGTTGGTTTTTTGGCTTTTTGGCTTTTTTGGCTATTTTAGCCTGGGCTTAAAAGCTTGGTTTGGAAAGGACTTTTTGGCTTTTTGGCTTTTTGAGTTTTTTTGTGAGAGAAGAATGTAATGATTATGGGTTGGATGTGATGTTTTGTTTGTTATGGTTAAAATAGCCTATTTTGTTTTTTGTGACTAAAATAGCTAAAAAAGCCCAAACCATGGCTTCCCAAACGAAGCCTAAGTTCCACACATTTTTCATTTACATTTTTTTTTTTTGGATAAATTTTCATTCACATATTTTTTATATTTTCATTAGTTATTTTTCCTGTTTAGTTTCAAACATAATATGTATTTTAATTTTTTTTTAGTATTATATGTGTATTTCTTAATTTTTAAAATCATAAAATTGACAATTTTATATTAGTTTTGGAGCTTTCTTAATTTTTCCTTTTGAATTTTTATGAGAGAATAGATTTTGACAAATAAAAAAAAAAATTGTTTTACTTTCCTTCTAAGAAGTATAAATCATGAGACAATTAATATTTTTATAATTATTGGTTGAATGGGTTGGCCAACAGTATTTTTTTAAATTATGTTTTAAATCAAAAAGGTATTCAGGAGTTTTAGAACTCTCACAATACTACACGAAAAGTTAACAGGATAGGTTACAGGAATTTTAATAAGATTAAATAGGACATAAGTCTCTTAAATGTGATTTGTAAAAGCAAGTAATAATAAATAATTTATTAAATAAATAAATAAAAAACACTCATCATTTTCATATGTTTTTACCCTTTTTAGTAGAAAAATAATTTTAATAAATTAAAAAAAGTCATTTTCATATTTATTTTAATCAAACTGTTGGCATCATAAACTTAAAATTTTCTGTCGACAGAGGTCCAAAAATTAGGGGTGTTGAGTCAGTGGCCCAAGGAAGAAGAGTGAGGATGTGACACATGGCAACTTCAGGAAGAAAGAAAGCACAGGGCAGTTCTAGCAGTTGCAGCAATTGCAGATCATGGGCAGATGTGGGAATCCATCAAATGGACACGTGGTTGCACAGCATGGCCAATAAAAGCCATATAAAGTTTGGAAGTTCAAAGGAAAAAAGACTTTCAACCAAAGTCACAACTCATGTGAAATCTAGGAGTAGTGTAACTTATCTGGGAGTAGTTCTTGTACTTAGAAGTAGTTTGTTTACAATTTAGTTCCTATAACCAAGTTTGGCCCTGTCGATTGTGATGTTATTTGAACTTGTAATTTGATTATTGTAATTGAGTGACAAGCTTAAGTTTTATTCAATCAAAATTCAGTTTGTTTATATTTGTTTCTTCACATTACAACCTCCAAAGAAGTCCTTGAATCTGTTAAAGCATAAGACATCAACCACATTGCCTGATTGAATTTCTGTTTGTGAAAATTGGTTTCCTCTGTGGACTTTTCCTTATCGATTTGACCCAAACCAAATTTTTGGTAACATATTTTGGCACGCCCAGTGGGACCAGCCTAATTTAGAGTGATGGCTAAGAAGAAACAACATGAGATCTTTGAAGACCCTAGGAAAAGGGTTGTTGATGGAGAAGAACTTGATGGTGAGTTTAAAGGAGTTAAAGACAACATAGATGCTGGCCACGCGGTGGCTGGACAAGAAACAGGCAAAGGAAATGGCCAAATGTGGCCTTCACTGGCCAGTCCAGTTGTTCACTTATTGATCCAAGAAGGGCTCTTCTACTGTTAATTTTTTTTTTTAATTAGAATCAATGTATTAGGATTCTTTTGGATTGTAATTAATTAATTATTTTTTGGATGTATTTTTCCATAGCCATGTAAGGGAATGTGTTTCACTGTTACCAATACATTTCAAGATTGCCTTAACATGTTACACCATATTACCAACAGGGCTTCAAGTGGTGCCCACGTGCAAAATTGTGTGGCACATTTTTTGGATACATATATATTATGCATGATTTGATGTTGTGGATTTAAGAGATGTTTTTACCTCCTACATAATTTTATTTAAAATTAATTAGGTGCCATATTTTAGCTCACATAGAGGGAGATGATTATGAGCTTAGAGAAATTTTCGATCTTTATGTAGGTGGAAATATTGTATGCCAATTGTGATTTTGGAATAAATTTTTTAAAAGTGTGCTAATGTCAAACCTTGTGCAATCAATGTAGTGAAATGGCCTCTAAGAATGTAGTCACTAACCTCACCAAAGATGAAATCCAATATTTGATTAATGAACAAAAAGCCATAAAAAAATTGACCACCCTTAAGATCCGATCTGAAGAAAGGACCACTGTCCAACATTGTCATAACACAGAGACCCATCAGAATTGGGTCAAGGGAGATCGATGCAAGTGCAATACTATGCTTAGCAGCATGCACAATGATCTCACAAGGGAATTTGAGACAAACCCCATTGCTCATGACATGTGGAATCAACTGAATATT